CATCTGGTTTTCATTCATCATGGCTGAGCTTTTGCCTCCAGAACAGCTGTGGTGGTTTGGTCGAGGCCACTCTGTTGACCCAGCGCTGGTGCATTTCTTCTGAGTAGAATTTGAAGGTCCCCATTGATCTCTAGCCTAAAGAGACCAGTGACCATTCTGATGTTTCTCCAAGATCTGTGTCAGCCTGGAATCTGGAGAATGAAGACATGCCATTTCTTTCGTGGCCACAAGGGGACACTCTTGGCTCTGCTGCAGATTTCTTCAGTTCCCTCTCTAGTACTTTCCAGCGAAAGGAGTTTGTTGCTTTGTAAGTCAGTTGGTAATTGGATGATGCATCAGGCAGTCATGGCTGGGGCCGTTTTTCTCTAGAACTTGACTACTTCTTGCATAATGGATACATATGTGCAACGTGTTCTCAAGGAATAGTCTGTTGTCTGCCAAATGTGACCTGAAAATAGAAACTTATCTAACAGGCAATCAAGTGATCATCTTGGACACAGATAGGAAGTGGGCAAAGTTTAAAGCAGGCCTCAAACTTATTACAAATAAAAATTCGAGGTATTAATTTGTTGAATGTAAACATTTATAATATCCTGTAATTTGCTCTCTTTTGTTTCTTAACAAGTAGATTTTTCAAAATAAATACTGTGGCCTATGAAAGGCTGCATCAGGCAGTAATTATTCCAATAAAAAATGTCAGACGTTCCATCACAGGAGTTCATTGAGAGCTAATGTGATGACCGAACTGGTTAATCCTCTCCCTTGCAGTGCCGGCATCCATGGGCACTGGTTGATATCCCAGCTGCTCCACTTCTCACCCAGTTCTCTGCTTATGCCCCGAGAAAGCAGTGGAGGATGACCCAGAGCCTTGGGACCCTGCACCTGCATGGGAGACCTGGAAGAGACTCCTGAATCCAGATCAGCTCAGCTCAGATTGTGGCATTCACTTGGGTAGTAAACCAGCAGATGAAAGATCTTTGCCTCCCCTTCTCTTCCATATATCTGCCTCTCCGACAAAAATAAATAAATCTTTTTTCAAAGTGTGTTTATTGTGCTAGCTGCAGTTTTCAAGTCCAGTTTCAAATTGAGTAAGTAAAGCCAATTCTCTACCAAAATAATGTCGCTAAAAAATAATCCTTTGCGGAGCCCGGTGCAGTAGACTAACAGCTAATGTCCTCACCTTACACGCACTGGGATCCCATATGGGTGCCAGTTCTAATCCTGGCTGCCCCACTTTCCATCCAACTCCCTGCTTGTGGCCTGGGAAAACATTTCAGGATGGCCCAAAGCCTTGAGTCCCTGCACCCTTGTGGGAGACCAAAAGAGGCTCCTGGCTCCTGACTTCAGATTGGCTCAGCTCCAGCCATTAGGTCACTTGGGGAGAGAATCATTGGATGGAGGATCTTCCACTCTGTCTTTCCCCTCTCTGTATATCTGACTTTCTAATAAAAATAACAAAAATCTTAAAAAAAAAATCCTTTGCATTTTGCATTGTGTCTTGTTGGGTTTTAAGCAGCTTTGATGTTGGCAGGGGCCCTTCGACAGGTGAGGTGTTTGCTCTGCCTCGCAGGTGATGGTATGCCTCTTCTTGGGGATGGTTTTATATGCAGTAAGTGTTTGAGCAGATTGATGAGTGTTCCACAACACCAGTAGGCATGCTCACACATGTGTGAATGGATCAGAAGTCTAAAATGTTTGGGGTCCAGTACAATAGCCTAGTGGCTGAAGTCCTCACTTTGCACACGTCAGGATCCCATATGTGTGCTAGTTTGTATCCCAGCTGCTCCACTTCCCAGCAGTTGAGGATGGCCTAAAGCCTTGAGACCCTGCACCTGTGTGAGAGACCCGGAAGAAGCTCCTGGCTCCTGGCTTCGGATCGGCTCAGCTCTGGCCATTGTGGCCACCTGGGGACTGAACCAGTGGATGGAGGACTTTTTTCTATCTCTCCTTCTCTTTAAATCTGACTTTCCAATAAAAATAAATAAATCTTTTTATATATAAAAAAACAGAATGAAATGTTTCAAACCAAATATGCATCAGAATCCAGGTCAAGGGGGCATCAAGAAGCGTGTGAGGAACTACTCCCATAACCTTGCCATCCTCTCCTGGCTTTGCTCATTGATGTTTTCTGCGTCGTTAAGAGTTTCAAGTGAAAGGAACCACCTAAGAAACTCTTAGGATCAGACACTGACTGGCATGGCCCTGGCTTTTACTGTGACTTCTATGTAACCTAAGCTATCTTGACTGAGATGGAGTCTTTCAGCATTAAAATACGTAATTAGTTTCAGTAATTGATGTAGTGAACGCCTGTGAGTCATACATGTCACAAAGCATTACGCATCTCTGATACCCAAGAATAGTTGTTTCGGTAAGATAGACGCTAAGACACCTCCATCCAATTTTAAAAAGAAGAATTATAAACACACACAAACACACACAAAATGGTGATACTGATCACAGGCTCCGGAAACCACATGTTCTATTTTTAGGGGAGGGTCATTAAGCAAAGTTTCTAGTTGAATTAGTATCAGATAATTTCACGATTGTGTCACGCAGACTTGATTGTCACCCTCGGGGAGAAATGACTTGACCCCCTGTGATAAGCAGAGAAGGCAGGACTCCTGGCCCATAGCCCTGTGAGAGAGACCCTGCCATGCTCTCAAGGACTCGCAGGAAGCCACAGGCAACTGGAGAAGGACCAGAAATGGTGTGGCTGAAGCCCGGACACAGTCGAAAATCTGAGAACAGCCCTCCGGAAAAGTCTGTCTGGAGGTGAGTTGACTAAAACCACACCAACTAGTGCTCCAAGAAAAAGTGATTCTATATTTTCAATTTGATTTAGAGTCAGTTTCTCTTAAAATGTGCATTGAATCCACACATTTGGCACATTCTTTCAAGTGATGAAAGAGAAGTGGAACCACCCTGAACAAAGCAGACTTGAAGCCCCAGCTCTCAGGTCTCCTTGAAGTGACGGAGGTGCAAGCCCTGGAGCAGAAGAGTGGTGCTCCAGGGAGACGGGTCCAAAAGCAAACTTAACAAGTAAATCCAAATGAAGCAAATCTGCTGATGCCACTCAACCCAAAAACTCGACAAGAACATCCAAGCATCCAAGCGTAGTGAATGGCCACAAGGAAGGGACAGCGTGTGTTGAAAAGATGTTGTTGACTCAACTTTTGCTAAGGATGAACTTCAGTGATACTTATGAACAGCCTTTATTATTTAAGAGCGTGAGCTCTGAAGAAGGAAGGAGGGAAAAAAATCCTTCTCTCTGATACACTGTGTCAAGGGCAAGACCATGTCCACCACCAGTGAGAAAGAAGAAAGTTCCTGGGTTTCCTCCAAAGTGCGGTGTGAAGAGCACTGTAGGGCAACTTGAAGGGAGCCTGGAAGGAACAGGTGGTGTGACTGGAAAAAACCCATTGGCAGAGTGGCCGAGGCCTGTGTTGCATCTTTTCCACTATCCTGTAGATATCCCAGCAGCATTTCAAAATTCGTCATCTTTCTCTTCTTTCTTTCTTTTTCTTTCTTTCTTTGTGTGTGTGTGTAAAATCTTATTTTGTGGTCACCACTGGGACGTGCATACAGTGCATAGAGACTCTGCTGTGGGTCCTTACACAACGGTCAGTGAGTTCCTCATAGACTTGTTGGACACGTTATCCTCCAGAGATCAGGGTCATGGTGCTGAACACCTTGTAGATGGTGTCAAAGTGGTGCTGAGTGGCAGTACAGCCCCTGGCTGAAGTGTAGCTGTCATCAAAACCATCAGCAACAACATCTTGGGACCAGGTGATTCCAGGACCCACGAGAGCAGGGTCCCTGGGGTGTACCCATCTTGTTCTCCCAGTAGCCCCTCCAGGCTAAGGTTCCAGAGGATGGCACTCCCTCTGTGGAGCCCACAGTCAGGTGGGCATGGCCACATCTCCCTTGGCACTTGCACAATCTTCCTCATTGAGGGCACATCCCAGAAAAAAAAAGTGAATGATGTCAGACTTTTTTGATGGGCACGGAGAAGATGCAGATCTCCAGAAACTTAATCTTCAAGTCTTCCATCAGAAGGCTCCAGCTTGTCTGGAAGCCTTGCCTTGGCCTCATCCCTGCCTCCAGGAGATCTAGAGGCTGGGCTGAGTTTGCAGTAGGGAGATCCACGGACTACTGCCTCGGCTGAAGCCAACAGAGCCCCACATTCCAGGCTCCCTCCTGCTGCGGTGGGCGTGGGGCGGAGGTGGGGGAGTCCTCCGCTGTTTGGTGTTCTCTGGGAGAACAGCCAAGTAAAGATTTAAACAATATGTGTGTAACCTGTGCGTGTTCCCTGCTGCTGGACACGGTGGTGCCACTGCCTGGGACTCGCAGGAGTAACTCCCGCTTCCAAGCCGGGTTTTCATGCTGACCCAGGGTCGCCTCAGAGCTCCCGAATCCTGCCTTCCGGTGCTCTTTCCGGACCCCAGTTTGAGGGGCAGGCAATCGCAGGGCTTAGACGCTTGCGGGATCTGGCATTGAGGGCGTTGGGAGAGTTTGAGAGAAGGAGGTGCAAGTGAGTGGGGATGAGAGTTCGCTCCTGGAACGTGCAGGGAAGGCGCCAGGCATCCCCCTGAGGCTCTCTGGGGAGTCTGGGGAAGCGCAGATCAGAACCAAGTAGGTACTTTATTGATCCAAACGTTAGATACACAGAGGCCAGGCTTTTCAACCAGATCTGAGTAGGCTTTGGGATATCAAACTTAGCAACCTTCCCCAATTCCCCTCCCTAAGTGAAGCCGCTGCCAAGGTTGCCACTTCGCTGCTCCGCCTCCCGGGTCTGCTGCCCTCCTAAACACTCATCATCCCGCATCACCCCTCCCCACTGGCTCCTGGGGGTTGGTCAGTCTGCAGGGCACTGGGTCCCGAGCTTGTAATAGGCGCGCAGGAAGACTCCTCTCCTGGGAGGTAGGAGCGCGCCAAGTTTCCTGCCCCTCGCGTGAGATCTGTGCGCAGAGCGCCCAAGATACTTCTGGTGAGAAGCTCGCGCTATTTCTTCCGCAGCCGACCAGATCTTGCTTCAGCAGCCGACCAGATCTCTGTGGGACGCGCAGACCGCAAAGAACTGAACTAGGCACTACGCGAGGTAGGTCACTTTACGTTTTTCTTAGAGAAAGAGAGGAGAGAAAAGAGAAAGAGAAAAAAGAAAAAAAAAAGTGCACTCATGCTTGTGTTTTTAGTAATACATCATACAGGCTTGTGAAAACCAAACGCTGATGGCAAGGGTGCGCTTTATGGTGATGATACTAACTTTACTCAGTTGGGAAGCTGGAACTGAGTTGTCAAAACTCATAGCAACTCTAGAAGTTACTACATTTTTGTGCACTTGGGGAGTGGATTTAAAAGGAGAGAGAGGAGGGAAAAGAGATGAAAGCGTGCATGCACATGAAAAGTTATTACAAAGTAACATCTTACTAGGTGCAACTGTACAGGATCAGGTTTTTGCAGCTGAGTTCTACTGCATGCTGTTTTATTCCAGAAAAGGCAGCTGACATCACTCGAGGCGGGGCCGCAAGCCCCAGAAAAGCCGAGGGGGACGCAATCAGGAGCAGCTGCCCAGGGACAACCTCACCATGAGCAGCCACAACAGCTCCGAGCTCCAGGTCGCTTGTAGCCCCGGGCAGCTCTTCTTGCAGCCGCTCTGGGACCGCGTGAGGACATGGGAAGCCACGTTGCATTCCCCCTTCTTCCCCGTCATCTTCTCCATCTCCACCTACATGAGCTTCTGCCTGCCCTTCGTGGTGCTGGATGTCCTGTGCCCCTGGGTGCCGGCTCTGCGGCGCTACAAGATCCACCCAGACTTCTTGCCATCCCCAAGGCAGCTGCTGCCCTGCCTAGGACAGACGCTCTTCCAGCACCTGCTGTTCGTGTTCCCTGTATCGCTGCTGCACTGGGCCCGTAGCCCGACCCACCTGCCTCCTGAAGCTCCTGAGCTTCTCCAGCTGGTGTGCCACGTCCTGCTGTGCCTACTGCTCTTCGACACGGAGTTCTTCGCGTGGCACCTGTTGCACCACAAGGTGCCCTGGTTGTACCGCACTTTCCACAAGGTGCACCACCTCAATTCGTCACCTTTCGCGCTGGCCACGCAGTATATGAGCATCTGGGAGCTGTTTTCCCTGGGCTTCTTTGACGTAGTGAATGTCACGCTGCTGGGGTGCCACCCGCTCACGGTCCTGGTCTTTCATGTGGTCAACATCTGGCTGTCCGTGGAAGACCACTCGGGCTATGACTTTCCTTGGTCCACCCACAGACTGGTGCCTTTTGGATGGTTCGGTGGCGTGACACACCATGACCTGCACCACTCCCAGTTTAACTGCAACTTTGCTCCCTACTTCACTCACTGGGACAAAATCCTGGGGACCCTGCGGCCTGTACCCCTCCCTGCAAAGTGTCCTGGCCACAGCAGGTGCCCCGAAGACACTGGAAAACTGGATATTTCACACTTGGATCATAAGAAACACATCTGAGCTGTTTTATGTGTGTTTGTTTTTGTTTTTGAAAACAAGTTAACTTATTAGCTGTTGATAACTGTTAAAATTCCATTTTAATTTTGTGCTGACAAAGTAATTTATATACTGTTTATATAGTAATACAATTGTTTCATTGCTGTCAAATTCTATTTTACTTCAGTAGCCTGGATTCCTGGATATAAAGTGGACACTGACCCCTGGCCTGTTCTAGCCACTTCTAAGAAGATTTATCAGTAGTATGAAGAATTTCGTGCGTTGAAAGTGGCCTAGAACTTGGCTGAGTGTATTGTTATGAAGGATCTGACTTCTGACTTGATACATAATCCTAACTGTTCTTGCTGGACAATGACCAAGATGATAGAACTTTTTCTATTTTTTCACGAGATTGTATATTTATGTTGAAAGAAATGTAATTTGTGCTTTTAAGATGAGAAAAAAAGGAATATGAACTAAACTGTCTCTGGCTCCTGATCTACTGGCATTTTGATGAAACTAAAACAGAGGGGAAGCTGCGGAGCGCAGGTGTTTTTCAGAGTCTTCCTCAACTCTGCTAGGAACAGACGAGAGTCCGGGGGTGAGCTGTTTAGCTTTGTGCCGGGTTGGTTGTAGGAAAGCAGGCAGGAGAGCCTGTTTGTTTAGTCTAGAGATTTTTCAGAGGGGAAGAACTCGATTACTCCAATTACTCTTCATGTTTTACTGCTGATTTCTGTTTCGTGAGGCAATGATACAAACAGGGCACCTACTTAATTATTTGGAGTGTGGTGTGTGATGGGGGTATGGGTTTTTTTGCCCTAGAATTAGAGGAGGAGTGCCTTGCTTTGTAAAATTGGAAAGTCAAGTATTTGCATGAAGTAGCTGATGAGTACCGAAAAGGATTTGTGCAAGTCCACTTTTCATGAAGCCATCTTCAGCTAGTGTTTTTAAAATCTGGAGTTTTATATATATTCTTTTTTTTTCTTATTTGAAACACACATGCAAAATGCACAGCCATTTCTTAGAAAGGATGCAATGGAATTTGGCCCTGGCCCTCGGGTTTCTCATCTGTAAAAGCAGATGGTGTACCAGATGTCCTTGCAGATTACTTGTGACCATGAGTGTCCCACATACCCGTCACTCTTCAGGTACCCTGTCTGGCTGCTGCCCAATCACTCTGGAACGTAGTTCATATTGTGCAAGGCTGAAAAGCAAGATACTTTACACAGAAAACCAAACAGACAGCAACTTAGTGCTTCTAGGCTCATTATAAATGAACTATACTACTATCCATTGAAAGGTGAAAAATCCATTGGCAAATCTGGTCTCCATAGTCCTGCTTCTGAGGTTTGTGAAACATGGGCTTAGGCCTTCCCAGTGAGGGGCAGGATGCAGCCAGAATGTGTGGCTGCTGGCGAGATTTCTTCCTGTTCGCTCTAACATGTGTTTTTTCCTCTGCTTCTAGCCTGAAATTGCTTCCTCCTCTCACCACAGCAAAGTTGGCCCTTAAAGGGGACTTCAGCAAAAAACAGTGAATTGCACAGAAAAAAAAAGATGCTAGGGGAAAAAAAATCCTGTCCTGGAGGTGGAATAAGAGGATACTCCAAAGTATCTTGGAAAAATGGAATTAAAGGATGAATTTTCTTATGCAAAAAGTGAAGTTTCAAAATCCTATTTATTCCACTCCCTATAAACTTTTTAAGAAAGATTTATTTATTTTTATTGGAAAGGCAGATGCACAGAGGGAAGAAGGGAGAGAGAGAGAGAGAGGAAGATCTTCCCTTTGCTGATTCACTCCCGGAGTAGCCGCAATAGCTGGAGATGAGCCAATCCGAAGCCAGGAGCCAGGAGCTTTTTCTGGGTCTCCATGTGGGTGCAGGGTCCCAAGGCTTTGGGCCATCCTCTACTGCTTTCCCATCCTCGACAGCTTTCCCAGGCCACAGGCAGGGAACTGGGTGGGAAGCAGGACTGCTGGGATTAGAACCCGCACCACTATGGGATCCTAGCAGCATGTCAGCATGTGCAAGGTGGGGCTTTTAGCTACTAGGCTACTGCGCATGACCCTCCTAATAAGCTTTTTGAAATCTTCTTCTATTACTGTCATGAAGAACATGGCTCTGGGAGGAAAGAGGAGAAGCAGAAACAAGCAGCAGTGGAACATGCAGTGCTGTCTTTAGTTTTTGCAAGCAACTCCAAGCAACCAGAACTCCTATGTAAATCCTGGATAATAATAATTAATCACAGCTTTCCCTCAGAGAATTTTGGATATCCATCATGTTGCCCAACCATAAAAGGGAATTTTGGATTTGGGAAAGTTTTACGTGTGGAAAGTGTTTAGCCTTAGGAACACTTATTCAGGGCAGATGTTGTGACCCACTGGGCTAAACAGCTGCTAGGGATATCGGCATTCCATTTTGGTGTTCTGGTTCAAGTTCCCCTAACTCTGTGCTTCCAGTCCAGCTTCCTGGTAATACATCCTGGGAGGAAACTGGTGACAATTCAAGTACTTTGGACCATGTCACCCATGTGGGAGACCAGGGTGGAGCTTCTGGCTTGTGGCTTCAGCCTGGCCCGGCTCCTGCTGTTGTGGGCATTTGAGGGATGAATCAGTAGATGGATGAAAGGTCTCTCCTGTTCTCTGTATCACTCTCTTTCAAATACATAAATATATCTTTCAAATGATCCACTTTCTCAGATGTCTTGCAATTCCTTATGCCTGGGGAAGTGGCAATGGAGGAGCAGAGAGCTTGAGCAATTTTTCACACCATTTAAGAACCTAATAAAGAACCTAAGTAGCTAATAACGTAGGACGGTTTTTGAAGAATTATATTATTGTAATAATATACGGGAAGTCAGTGAGGGAGCGGACTTGGGGGAGAGTAGAGGGGAAACCCAGAGCCTATGACATGTCATAACATAAATAAATACATTAATTTCAAAAGAGGCCACTTCCATTTATAGTCATGTAAAAAGAAAAAAAAAAAACCTAACAAAGAAATCGCTCCTACTGACAGAAACTTTTTGTTCATGTTTTCACTCACTCTTGGCAACAAACCTAAGGGATGTAGAATAATAGTAATAATAACTGCAGTTATTATCATAAGTATCATTATTATTAGTAGTAGTATCTTCCTCCACCTTCCCTGTTATAGATGGAAGATTGGTGTTGCCCAGGTGATGTTCCTTATCAAGTGATAATGTAATAGTTCCCAACCTGGGTCTCATAGCATGTGCTCCACCTCTCTCATGATAGTGCTTGCAATAATTTTCACAATGCCTGCCATACAAATAGCCTCACTTTACTGTTCCTGCTTGGCCACTGTCTTGAAAACACAGGGTTTCCTGGCCCACTAGGAATCCTTTGATTTTGATGTCCCTAGGGCCAAGGGCTCTCTGGGGTGGGCACCTACGCCAGTGTAAACAGGACCTACGAAGGTGAGAGGCAGATGAAGCACAGCAGTCTCTGCCTCCCTCATTGCCATTGTCTAAGAGCCACAGCTGGATGACCTGGCTGGGCACGTCGGTTCTGGGAGGCCCTAGCTGGCTGGCCTTGGACATGCTATTTCACTTCTCTTGACTCCACTTATTCACTCATAAAATGGTAGGGATTACAGCAGCTCTCTAGCTGAGCACTTAGGAGGGGACTGTGGGTCATGGCGTGGCTGGATGGGCTGGAGTGCAGGGCTTCAGTCCCATGTGCTAGGGACTTGCGCTGTGTGACATGAAGACCAGCTGTCGGTGCCCTCTTACAGGGAACCACAAAAAGTCATGTTTCTGATGCTTCCGTTAGTGGCTGCTGGTCTCATCATCCTTTTAAGATAAATGTTGTGGGAAGATGCAAGAGTTTGTTTGTCTCCTTTCACTTCCTCGCCCCTGAGTCATGCCACCCCCACCTCTTCCTGAATCTTCTTCTCCAGGTTCACCCTCATGATCACATCCAGGAAATTCTTCCTTCTGCCTTCCCATCTCTCCTCTCTCTCTCCTTCTTTGGTGTTTGCTTTGGTTAACCACCTCATGTTGGAACGTGGTTCTTGTTGATTTTAGTGAGGTTTTCTTTTTCCTTTCTAATTTTCCCAGCTGTTTCTCTAACAGCTCCTCTTTCACCACAACAGGAAGGCAAGCCTCACAGTGCTATTCCTATTAATTAAAAAATAGATAACACGCATAATCAGTGACGTACTGCCATCTCCTAGCACACTCTGTAAATCTCCTAATGCTTTGCATTCTTATATACACGCACACACGTAGATGTGTACATGTATATATGAATCTGTGTGTATACATACTGCCTATAGATGCACATTCTACACGCAAACTATGTAAGTGCCAACACAACATTAAATGTGCACGTGCATTTATTTATACACTGTGTATGTACAGATACTATTCATGTAAGCACATTACACATACACAGATACTATATTCACACTCTATGGTAGATTCATACATGTATGCACAGGATACATACATGTGAAAATGTGTGCATACATGCACACTAAATATATAGACACATTATATGCCCTTTCTGCCTTTTTCTTGACACACAACACTTGCACACATGCACACTACCACTTTTGCCCTATTTATTATTTATTTGTTCTTTTAGTCTTGCTAGTTTTTGATAAATATTGGTTCATTGTTACATGAGTCCTGGATGCCATTGATATGTCTCTCTCCATCTGTTCTTTTTTGTTCCTCTGCAGTATCCTTCTGCAGTCCATCCCAGCTTCCCATCACGCCTGTGCTCTCCGTTCATGATCTCTACACTTACAGAGGGGTACAGTATCCTGGGAAGGGAGTCAGGTAAGCAAATGTAGCCAGCGTAACTTGCTCAGTATCATGAAATGGAGGGTTTGGTGGCAATTGGAGCGGATGGATCATCTGGATCAAATCACAAAGGACTTGTATGACATTCAGCAGATGTGACTTAGGGCATACTCGGCAGAAGAAATAGTAGTGACAGAACCAGACAGTGATGAAAAGAACTTGGCATTCTCTAAACATAATGAGAAGAATGAACAAAGGGCCCGGCACAGTGACCTAGCAGCTAAAATCCTTGCTTTGAATGCCCTGGGATCCCATATCGGCACCGGTTCTAGCCCAGCAGCCCCACTTCCCATCCAGCTCCCTGTTTGTGGCCTGGGAAAGCAGTCAAAGATGGGCCAAAGCCTTGAGACCCTGCACCTGCGTGGGAGACCTGGAAGAGGCTCTGGGCTCCTGGCTTCGGATAGGTGCAGCACTGGCTGTTGCAGTCACTTGGGGAGTGAATCATCAGATGGAAGATATTTTTCTCTGTCTCTCCTCCTTTCTCTATATATCTGAGTTGGCAATGAAAATAAATACATCTTTAAAAAAAATAATGAACAAGGAATGAAATTTAAGGCATATGCCCAGAAAGAGGGCTGGGATATTGCTTTGGGTCCCTGCTAGAAGCAATCTTGTATTGCCTTTTGACAAGCCACAGAGGCTCACCTGCCTGTGTGGAGTGATT